TTTTGAAAAGTTGTATGGAAAACGTCATGGACTCAATTGAAAACCAAAGATCACCTTGATTTGCATACTTTTCAAGGATATACATATATATATATATATAACAATTCTCTCCTTAGACCGAATGAAAACTCATTTGAAAACTGCAGTCTTGAGAGTTGAGACTTATAAAATTGTGATTAATTATAATATACATTTTTTGTTCTAAATTCTTTTTGTGATTTTGTTGTGTAAAAAAAACCAAAAATCAAATTGAGTCGAGAATTTCTTTGATCGAGTTTAGAAGAGACTTCTTTTAGTACAATTCTTCATTTAATCATACTTCAATTGAACTAACTTTTAAGACAATAAATATAAACACATGTTATCAAATGTACATAAAATTTGGTAATAATTAGCTTATATTAAAATTAAAAAAAATTACTTGATCGAGTTTCTTTTTAGTTAAATTTATGCATGGCTAAGTTTCGTATTCTCTACCATTATATTATTTATGATATATTTTTAGGTATAGTTACGCAAATAGACTGCCAAACCAGAGCATAATTTAACGGGTTAAGATACATATATCCAATTATACGAGATTGAGAGTTCAAATCCCAACCCTCACATGTTGTACAAAAAAAAAAGTTACACATATATCCACGCTTGAACGGTATGAGATGAGGCAGAGAATAAGGGACCCTAGTTCATTAAATATTTCATAACCTTTGATAGTGATATTACTCAAAAAAAAAAAAAATCGATAAGATCCAATTGTTTATAATTTTCTTGTGTTCAGATTGACAACGTTGGGTGAAAGAACCATGTAAATTAAGACTAAATTAGCAAGAAAGATGTTAAAAGCTAACTTCTGAGTTAAAAAAAAAACATATTTGAAAATATTCACACTCAAAAACTATACAGAAATGGAATTAATCTGCGTATATATTAAAAATTTCTCAACTTTTTTTAATTATATAAAATTAAGTGATATAAAAGGAAAGATATTTTAATTTTATTGAATGTTAGTAAGTCGAAGAGAAGATTAGTCGAGATATGTATGTGTGCAGAAATTGTTTCAAACATTAACTTGTCCTTTTTTAGAAAAATAAAATTAAGTCCAATGAAGTATTGATTTCTAAATATTCAAATAAAGTTAAGGAAATGGTATAATAAGAAACTAACCTTCATTTAATAATATCAAGGTGTAAAAACCTATTTTACGATGTATAAAGAATTAAGAAAAACTTTTTGTAAATGAGTCGAACCGATTCTAGTTTAACATAGATAAAGTAGATATTATCATCTCTCAAAAATTGATTTCCAACAATTTTTGAATTAAAAAAAAATTATGAAAAAATGGTCTAATTTTTAAAAAGCAGATACTAAATTACATGAAATTTTATAATTAAAAGATTACTATAATACCATGACACATATCGTAAAAGTAAATTCCATATAAATCATTTTTATTTTAAATGTTATTTAAATATATTATTTAAGCTATCAACCTGGGAGAAAGGATTGAAATAGAGTAGTTCTAACTTCTAAAACGTAATTGTAAAAATATTATAATTTTGAAACTATTTACTGGATTCTTGTAATTATTTTTAACAAATACAATATTTTTATAAATATTTGTTGGTTGAACGAGAAGTAGTTGAGATTCAAAATCTCCAACTTTAGATATAGCAAGTAATGTACTCTAGTAATGCCTTGGCAAGATGAATCATGTTTGATATTTTATTTTTTCTATTAAATAGCATTAAACCATACAATATTAATAGAAAAAATCCCAATTTTTTTTAAAAAAAATTTTAAATTTTAAATACAACAATCAAGTGGAGAGATTCAAACTCACTACTTCAAATCGAGAAGTATTTTGGCGGGTCTACCTAGTGCAATCACTTTGTGCCCGACTCACTCACTACCTTTTAGCATTAATGAACTCAAAAGAAGGAGAGAGAAGAGGGGGGATCGGCCCTACACACCGGAGACGAAGCGTAGAGGTCACTTTAGCTTGATGTACCGGAGTGAGGCTAAGAGAAAAAGATTCCTCTTGCTTGGTAGACTGGGATACAAAAAAGTAATCGTAATAAGAGAGAGCACATAGACCAATCAATCGTATCGGTAAAGGGATACTAGAGGTAGAAATGGTATGAGATAGGAATAGCTATTGTGGGTCCGTCTATCACAATCGGTAGAGATACGTACCAATCACGTTGATTTGGGACTTCCCAATTTCATCCTAAAATTCACATCATCTATGGACCAATTATAAGTTTCTCATCTCCTCCTGTAATCAGAAGTCGAATACCATTCACTATCTTTCTCCCATATCCCAACCAAAGAACAAGTATATTGCTTAATTTGAATTTGTGTTCCATCATGTGGACGTGGTTTCTTGTACTCGTTTCTTATTGGTGTCATTTCTCTTGTAATTCCATTGTTAGATTGGTGGACGCATCCAGATTGTCCGAAGCCAATGCGATGCCCGAAGCCAATGCTCTCCTTCAAACTGGTTGGTGGAGCAATCATATTCATAACAACGTCTCAGATCCTTGTGAATGGAATGGCACTAATTGCGATGCTTCAGGAAGTGTTATAGAAATTACTTTGCGTTATGTGGAGTTGCCAAGGGGATCTACTCTACAAAACTTAAACTTCTCATCTTTACCCAACCTGGTTAGTCTTACTCTCTCTGGTATTGGCCTCCTAGGGAGCATCCCTCCTCAAATAGCCTCTCTCTCAAAACTCACCTATCTACACTTATCTTATAATAATCTTACAGGTGAGCTTCCTTTCCAAATAGGGAATTTGACCAACTTGGTGGAACTCAATCTATTTGCAAATATGTTGACAGGTACAATCCCTTCAACTATAGCTGGTTTGGCCAATCTGTTATTTTTAGATCTTTCCCAAAACCAACTAGGTGGGGTGATTCCTCCTGAAATCGGAAATTTGACTTATCTAACTCATCTTTGGGTGAGTTATAACAATCTCAATGCTTCACTCCCCTCCACTTTGTGGGATTTACATCAGTTGAGCTTGTTAGATCTTTCACACAACTACTTCAATGATCATTTGATTTCCCAAGGAATAGGGAGCTTAAAAAGTTTGGAATATTTTTATGCACAAAATAACACACTCATTGGTCCTATCCCTTCCTCTATTTTTCATCTCACCAATTTGATAGAATTAAATCTTGCGTCAAACAAATTTTCTAGGTCTATTCTTATTCCACATATTGGACAGAATTTGGTGTATTTGAATTTGAGTTCCAACATGCTCACTGGGCCCATTCCCTTCACCTTATTTGATATAGTTTATGTGAACAATTTATATAAGCAGGTAAAAATTGATCTTAGCCATAACTCCTTCAATGGTCAACTACCTATTACCTTGGACCTAAGTTATGCCCCTTCTGTTAGCATGGACATCAGCTACAATAAGCTCATCGGCACATTTCCTAATTTTCTTATTGCTCTTGGAAAGGCCAACTTATCCTATAACTTCCTTCAAGGTATGGTTTCCGATCAATTTCTAAATAAATTCGATATCAGCGTTGTTATGGGTAACAATAAAGTATGTGGCAATCATCCCCAACTACACCCTTGTCATTCACATTCACACAATCAAATGCTCAAGATTCTTCTTCCTTCACTTTCTTTATTCCTCCTTTGTTTTGCTTGTTCTATCCTTGCCCATCATAGAATGACGAAGAAGAATACTACCGGCCATGAAAAGAAATCAGATCACGAACATGGAAATATTTTCTCCATATGGGACTATAATGGCAAAATTGCATATGAAGACATCATAGAAGCAACAGAAGACTTTCACATCAAATATTGCATTGGCACCGGCGGATATGGCAGTGTTTACAGAGCAGTGCTTCCAAGTGGCAAAGTCGTAGCTCTAAAGAAACTCCACACCCATGAGGCCCAACAGACAACTCTTTTCAACAGTTTTCAGAAAGAGGTTGAAATGTTAAAGGAGATAAGACACAAGAACATCGTTAAACTCCATGGATATTGCCTCCACAATCGTTGCATGTTTCTCATTTACCAATACATGGAGAGGGGAAGCCTATTTTTGGCGTTGAGCAATGATTCAGAAGCAGAGGAATTGGATTGGAATAAGAGGCTCAGCATCATTATCAGAGTTGCGCATGCTTTGGCCTATATTCATCACCATTGCATTAAACCCATCATTCATCGAGATGTTACAACAAGTAACATACTTTTAGACTCAAAGCTTGAGGCTTTTCTATCAGATTTTGGCATCGCAAGATTGCTCGAGCTTGAATCATCCTACCATACCACAGTTGGCGGCACTTGTGGATATATTGCTCCAGGTGAACCCAATAATTTTGATCTTCTTATTTTATTTACTTTATATTAGTCCAAACTTTAATTGATTGCTTTTCAAAATTTTTTGATCCAGAACTAGCCTACACTACCGTGGTGACTGAGAAATGTGATGTATACAGCTTTGGAGTGGTGGCATTAGAAATAATAATGGGAAAGCATCCCGGAGAACTATTAAACTCCTTGTGGTCTAAATCCGTACCGCCTATAGCCATCAAAGATTTGTTAGACTCTCGTCTCAGATCTCCACTGATCACAGCTGGAGCGGCACAAAATATAGTTCTCACATTAACTTTGGCCTTTGCATGCCTCCACCCAAATCCCAAAACACGACCTACAATGCATCATGTGACGGAAAAATTTTCTACTCGAAAAACTCATCTGGAAGAGTTCCCATTTAATGAGATTTCCATTCAAAAACTTTTAAGATAAGAGTATATCGTGTATATAAGATTTAGGAATTTACACTAAGAATAAAATGTATGTGTTTTGGAGTCATTTTAAAGCTTAAATTGCGTGATTTACCATTATTATTGGGAAGTAAATTAGTGGCTTCTTGCAAATATGGGATAGTTGCTGCATGATGAGTTAATATACTATTTTACAAGAAACAGTTGCCTTGAAGAAAGATGGAAGGTCAAAAGGAGCTTTTTTTTAAGTACTATGTGGGGGTGGAGATCGAACTCACAATCTTTTAATTGAAGACATATGTCAAGTATCACTGAGTTATGCAACATTCTCTCTCCATTTTCCCTATCGCTCTTTTTTATGTTCACTTTGGCTGATTCTTTTTCATTTTTATTAGGTTAGTACAAATTATATATAGTCGAGTATACTGTACTTTTCTCTCTCTCTATTTTGCCTTCAACAAACATGATAATCTAAAATGCTAAAGAAATTGAAATTAAAATCATGGATATATATTAGCCATGAACTTCAACAGAAACCAGGAAAGTTAGAAGAATAACTAGAGAAAAATTCAATCCAACTGATTAATCTCAATAGAACAAAGAATTTGTTGTTCCCTTTTAGCCGCTGGAAAAGAAGCATCAACCCTAAAATTTAATTTTAAAGAAATTTACCAGAAATTCACTGTATGACTTTCTCCTGTTTTTATTCATGGTCCGAAACCCAAATGAGTAATATCATATTTAATTTAGTTGAAGATATATGCCAATTATCGCTGAGTATCGTTTTTGCAAGAACATTTTGTAGTTAAGTCTTATTTTGTTCCTCAAATTTCATATTTATTTACTTATTTTTTCCTCCAAACTATTAAATATTTTGTTTTAAATCTTAAACCATTCAAATATTCTTATTTAAATTTTTTTTGATGCACTTCTTATTTAAATTTTTAAACTTTGTATCAACATATCCAATAAATGATTAAATTTACTATATGATAAAATGATATTAGAGCAGTCCATTACGTGGATACACAATTTTGCTAAAATTTCCATTTTTTATTGTCAATTAATTTTAATTTTTGACTTCGCCTTTTGAGTAGGAATAAATCATTAACTTGGTACTCTTTGAGTGGAAAATATGGTCAACTCCATTGGACTAAAAGATCATATTTATTTGTTTATTTTTCAAAGATAAACCTATATTAAGGTGATGCAGTGAATGAGACCTCTAATGCGAACTTACTCAAAGACTAAGTCGAAGTTAAAATTAACATAAAGTTTATATCATTTATTAATTTTGTTTATCTTAAAAGATCTTTCTTTTTTGAATGGTTGTGCGAAAAATACAGTGGATTAAATTGAACCAAAATCATAAGAAATGAACCAAAAATAAATGCATGTATCTGATGAATGGTACATTATTCAATTATTAGTCAATCCATCGAAATCATGAAATGAGGTTGAAAATGCGACTTTGGAAAAAGTGTTTGAACGGACAATTTGTTTTATTGACCAAGTGTAATAATCGTTTATCTATCCTTTGGGATAGTTGTTATCTTTTGTGGCTTTTGTTCGTGGTGCATTATCAAACCTTTTATGATGTAATCCTTAATGGTCCCTTTTTTTTTAATATAATGTTTCTTTGATTAAAAAAAAAAATTTGCTATTGATAAAAGTATCTAGTTACTTTTCTTTTTCCCTAAAAACACATTATTTTGATCTTATGATTATTGTGCGGAGGGGTTGTGGGAAGTGGGAACTCATTGATGAAATATCATATTGAATATTAATTAAAACAAAATATAGATAAACAATTAACAAAATTCAAATTGATTGAGAAACAAAATTTATTTTTTCCCTCTCTTTCTCTTATAAGTTTATAACATCATAACGTCAGAGCGAAGCATAACCCCATTGGACAGGAGGGAAAAAAAATAAAAAAATAAAGAAACATCAATTTTAATTTTAATTTAGATTTAGACGTCCAACCCATCACGAACGTACAGATTAAAAGAAAAGTATTCTAAAACTGAAGGTGGAATCTACAAATTTAAAATAGGATTCCTTAATTACCTTTGACTTTGCCTCTTCTAAAATTAATCTCCCGCTCTAATACTATCTAATAAATAAATCACTGTTCAACCCAAAAGTTTAAATTGATGGATTTAGTAAATTTAATTCATATATTGAATATTTAATAGTTTTTCTTGAAATAAAAAAAAATCTTCCTCTAGTTTTCTAGGTTTGATACTGTGAATAGTTGCTAAAAAATATTGCAAACTTAATTGAACCAAAAATTGGGTCGATTTACAATTGATAATCATATGAGATTCATAAATCGACTATTTATGAACCTTTTTTTCCTTAAAAAAACTTTTTTTTTTGATGGTAGTGTAGAAAAGTTTGTAGACTCAAATGAATGATCATTACATACATCTTAGAACGAAGATATGGGTTGATGATAGAAAATGAGAGTATGAGACACTCAATTATACATTAAATGCCAACCACACAAATTAAAGACCAAGTCCAAAGTCAAAATCAAATATGAGATTCAAAAGTTGAACTAGTTATGCAAATACTTTTTCCTTGAAACAGTCTCATTTCTTTTAATTTTTGAATAGTGGTGTAGGAAAGGTCGTGAATTCAATTGAACCAAAGATGTATAAGTGAATGTCATATTATTCTCACTTTAGACCCGATGCAAACTCATTTGAAATCTTCAAACTTAAAAAATTGTGATTAATTGTCGAAGCGAGCCTAGCTTATGGGACGACCACCTGACCCTACTATATTTGATATTGTCAAAGTAATTCGTAAGATATTAAATCTTAGGTTGAACCCATTCTCTCTAAGCCCTTTGCTATTTATATTGACCTTTATTGACCACTAGGTCACACTATGATGGTTTCAATTCAACCAACTTTTAAGACAATAAATATACTAGTTACATGTTATATGCACATAAGATTTGGTAAATTATAATTAGTTTATATTAAAAATGATAAATATATATTTTAGTTAACAAAGAATCAAAATAACCAATTATTAATGGAATTCCTTGTAGGCTCTCTGTAAAATACTCATTTGGTCGAGGGCTTCCAAAAACATCATATGCATTAGTCACTTGAACATATGGTAGGAATAAGGAGGAGAGGAGAAAGGTGCCTGAGCCCAAAACGCAACCGAAAAACAAGTAGGGGATAATAGGAAGAGACTAGGAAAGATTCGATTCGGCTCACCCTATTGCATTAAATATTTCATCTAAATATAATGATCATGTGTACATAAGACAGGATAATTATCTTCATTGGTATGTGACATTTTGGGTGAAACCAAAAGTAAATCCATGAGGATTATGCCCAAAACGAACAATATAACTTTGATATATGATCTAATTGGTTTATAATATTGTTACAATTGTTTATAATAAACCTGAAGTTGTGAGTTTGATCCCCAACTCACATATTGTACGAAAAAAAACATTGATGGCGTTCACATTGATAATTGATAATATTGGATGAAATAAGCAGGTAAATTAATACTACATTAGCAAGAAAGATGTTAAAACTACTGTAGTAAAGAAAGAAACAAAAGCTCTTCCTGCCCCTTCCCAATTCCATCCCCTACTAAATGTGTCTAAATTGACATCATTTCTGGACCAATTATAAGTTTCTCATCTCTTTCCATCTCTCTCAATCCGAATTGTGGAAGTAGAAGTATATGCCTAATTTGTGTTCCATGTGGCTCCTACTCCTTTCTTCCTCCCTTTTCTCCCACTTCTCTTCTAATTCCATTTCTATATTGCCGTCGCTTCAACGGGAAGCCAACGCTCTCCTTCAAACTGGTTGGTGGAGCAATCAAGATATCTCCCATCGCTGTGAATGGAATGCCATAAAGTGCGATGCTTCAGGAAGTATTATAGAGATCACTATAAATAGAAAGCTACCAATAAGAGCTACTCTACCAAGCTTAAACTTGTCATCTCTACCCAACTTGGTTCGTCTTACTCTCTTTGATATTGGTCTCCAAGGGAGCATCCCTCCTCAAATAGCCTCTCTCTCCAAACTCACCTATCTGGATTTATCACTTAATAATCTTACAGGTGAGATTCCTTCCCAAATAGGGAATTTGACCAGCTTGGTGCAACTCCATCTATTTGCAAATATGTTCACAGGTACAATCCCTTCGGCTATAGCTTGTTTGACCCATCTATCATCTTTAGATCTTTCCTATAACCAATTAGCTGGATTGATTCCTCTTCAAATTGGGAATATGAATAATTTGAGGAGTCTATCTCTCGCAAATAATCTACTAACTGGTCCAATCCCATCCACAATCGGAAATTTGAGTTATCTAACTGATCTTTGGGTGAGTTATAACAATCTCAATGCTTCACTCCCTTCCACCTTGTGCCATTTACCTCACTTGTACTCCTTACATCTTTCACACAACCACTTCACCGGTCCCATCCCTTCCGCTATTTTTTATCTTACCAACTTGGAAAAATTAAATCTTGCGTCAAACAAGTTTGTTGGGTCCATTCTTATTCCACAAATTAGACAAAATTTGGTGTATTTGAATTTGAGTTTCAACATGCTCACTGGCCACATTCCCCTCACCTTATTTGATATAGTTCATGTAAATTCTTTTCATCAGCCCTCCTGGCTTAAGATTGACCTTAGCCACAACTCCTTCAGTGGCCAACTACATTCTATTAACTTGGACCAAGATTATGCCCGCTCTGTTAGCATAGACCTCAGCTACAATAACCTCACCGGCACATTTCCTAATTCTCTTATTGCCTTTAAAAACCTCAACTTATCCTATAACTTCCTCCAAGGTATGGTTTCCGATCAATTTCTAAATTATTTCGATGTCAGCCTTGTTAAGGGTAACGACAAACTATGTGGCAATCATTCCCAACTACACCCCTGTCCTTCACATTCGCGTTATAATCAAATGCTCAAGATTCTTCTTCCTTCAATTTCTTTATTCCTCCTCTTTTTTGCTTGTTCTATCCTTGCCTATCGAAGAACGATGAAGACGAATACTACCGGCCATGAAAAGAAATCAGATCACGAACATGGAAATATTCTCCATATGGGACTATAATGGCAACATTGCATATGAAGACATCATAGAAGCAACAGAGGACTTTCACATCAAATATTGCATTGGCACCGGCGGATATGGCAGTGTTTACAGAGCAGTACTTCCAAATGGCAAAGTCGTAGCTGTAAAGAAACTCCACACCCATGAGGCCCAGCAGATAACCCTTTTCAACAGTTTTCAGAATGAGGTTGAAATGTTAAAGGAGATAAGGCACAAGAACATCGTTAAACTCCATGGATATTGCCTCCACAATCGTTGCATGTTTCTCATTTACCAATACATGGAGAGGAGAAGCCTGTTTTTGGCGTTGAGCAATGATTCAGAAGCAGTGGAATTGGATTGGAATAAGAGGCTAAGCATCATTACCAGAGTCGCACATGCTTTGTCCTATATTCATCACCATTGCATTAAACCCATCATTCATCGAGATGTTACAACAAGTAACATACTTTTAGACTCAAAGCTTGAGGCTTTTCTATCAGATTTTGGCATCGCAAGATTGCTTGATCTTGAATCATCCTATCATACCACAGTTGGCGGCACTTGTGGCTATATTGCTCCAGGTGAAACCAACAATTTTAAACTTCTTATTTTATTTTCTTTATATTAATCCAAATTTTTATTGATTGCTTTTCAAAATTTTCTGATCGAGAATTAGCATACACCATGACTGTGACAGAGAAATGTGATGTGTATAGCTTTGGAGTGGTGGCATTAGAAATAATAATGGGAAAGCATCTAGGAGAACTATTAAACTCGTTGTGGTCTAAATTTGTACCGCCTATAGCCATCAAAGATTTTTTAGACTCTCGTCTAAGATCTCCACTGATCACAACTAGAGCGGCACAAAATGTAGTTTTCACATTAACTTTAGCCTTTGCATGCCTCCACCCAAATCCCAAAGCGCGACCTACAATGCAGCATGTGACTGAAATATTTTCTGTTAGAAGGCCTCGTCTTGAAGAGTTCTCATTTAACGAGATTTCAATTGAACAAATTTTAAGAGAAGTATACCATGTATTTAAGATTCAAGAATAATCAATTTACATTAAAAAATAAAATAAAATGTACGTGTTTCAAGTTATTTTAAAGCTTTACCATTATTGAGAAATAAATTAGTGGCTTCTTGCAAGTATGGGGATAGTTGCTATTGCTAGCTTAGTTCTAATTGTTGAGATGTTATTTCAAAGTTAATAGGCTCAACATCCTGTTGCCTTGAAGAATGATGGAAGGCCAAAGGGAGCGCCTCTTTTTTTTTTTCTCTTTTTTCTTTGGATAATTGAACAGGGAACTTGCTGTTCCCTTTAAACGTGGGAAAAAGAATCAACGCCGCTCTAAAATTGAATTTAAAGAAGCTTATCAGAAATTCTCTATATGACTTTTCTCTGTTTTTTCTCTAAACCCAATACCGTGCTTCCCGAGATTTAATCCACGTAAATCTAAAAAGCACCAAAGAAAAAAATTTTAGTTTAGTCCTATTTTGTTCTTCGAATTCCATATTTATTTACCTTTTTTTTTTTCTTCCACCGCTATTAAATATTTTATTTTAACTCTTACTCGCTTCAAACATTTCTATTTTAATTTTTAAAATCGTGCGTTAATATACTTGATAAATGTTTAAATTTATCATAATTTATCGACTTAAACTTTATGTTGATTATTGATTTAGAATAATATTAGAGTAATATTGATTTCACTTGTTGGACCTTACAAATGTGGAGAGTGTTAAGTGGGAATAGATTGACCTTGTGGCATTTAAAATGATATTAGAATAGTTTAGTGAAGGTAAATTTTGCTTAATTTCCATTTTTATTGTCAATTTATGAATCTCATATTAATGGTAAGCGTTGACTTGGTTTATTGAGTAGGAATAGATCAATGACTTGGTACTCTTTGGGTGGGTGGAAAAGATAGTCGACTCAATCAATTGTACTAAAAGATCATGTTTATTTGTAAAATTTTCAAAGGTAAACCTATGAGGTTATTGGTGGTCAAAATCAGAATCGACACGTGTAAGTACCTACTCAGTTCGGAGTCATAAGTACGAGAAAAACAGACCTTTCATACCCGCTGACCTGTTCCATGCCGAGCTGAGATGAACAAAACATATCAACCGACTTGACTTGAGGGCCCAACAGAGGTGATGTAATGAGACGTCCAATTACATTAAATGTGTAAATTCACTCGAAGACTAAGTCAGAGTTAAAATTAACATAAAGTTTATATCGTTTTTTTTTCCTTAAAAGATCTTTCGTTTTTGAATGGTTGCGTGGAAAATAGCGTGGATTCAATTGAACCAAACATCATATTTTTACAAAATGGCCAAAGATAAATGCATGTAAGTAATGAATGGCATGCAGTCAATTTAGTCAACCCACCCATTCGAAAACCAAATTCAATGTAAAAGCTGGATGTGACCTTATCAATTGACTATTTTGATTTGGTTGTGGAAAAGAACATGGGCTCAATTGAATTATGTTGATTTTCATACCTTTTAATAATGGACATGCATATATCTATTCAAAGATTAATATGAAAATTAATATTACATGGCATCCATTGATAAAAGGATCGGTTAATTTTTTTCCATAAGACAACATTCTTTGATCTTAAGGATCATTGTGGGGGGAGGTTGTTGAATAAATTACCACAGTTCTAATACCACTTGTAGAAAAAAATTAGTACAACAAGAAAATCACGGTCCAAACTTTTATTAAGAAAGTAAGCATTTTAAGAGAAGGCTCTCTCACGTTTCACTAACTTTCTTCACTTTCACTTGATCGTCTCACCTACACAGACATCTCTCCTATTTATAGGAGATAGATTCTTGGAACCCAAACAAAAATATCTTTGTAAATTCTCGTTAAATCTTAATGTTTCTTTATCTATTCTTATCCAAAGGATCTCTAAAGTTCCTTGGAATCTATGAGAAAAGTTAAAATACTTATAGAGCATCTTTTATGTATATTTTTTTAAAAGATACGTAGAGCATGTTTTATACATGTATTTACAATCTTCAAGATACATGGAGACTCCAAAAACCTTATGAATAGTTAGTGTTGTATTTTAATAAAAGTTTTTGGAAACTAATTCAACCAAATATTAAATTAAAACAGAATATAGACAAACAATTAATGTAAAGATAAAAATGTGAACGAAATGTAATATATATACTTTATGTTCACCAAAATCTCCATAAGTAATAATTCACCAACCCAAAGTCTAACATAGTTTGAATTGGTGAAAGCTAGTTTAAATCTCCACCCATCCAATTCAACCAAAAAATAAGAACAGTGATGAACAATTTATGAACAAAATTCCACTTTTCTAGGACGCCCAATTAAATGCATTTGACATTTCCAACTAATAACTCAATTCCAATTATAACTCTCTTCTTCGTCTTTCTTTTCTTTTTTTTTTTTTTGAACTTGAAGACCCTGATCCATTATCTTGTTCGAATTTCGAACCAAAGTGTAGATGTGGTTTCTACTCTTTTCTTCAATCCTTTTCTGCAACTTACTGGTGGATGCATCAACATTGTCTCCGCTCCAACTAGAAGCCGATGCTGTCCTCAAAAGTGGTTGGTGGAGCGGTCAAAACATCTCGCAGCGTTGTGAACACTGGACGACCATAACTTGCGATGCTTCAGGAAGCATTACAAAGATTGGCCTGGATCGGCCATTGCCAACAGGTTCCTCTCTACAAAACTTGAACTTCTCATCTTTACCCAACTTGCTTCATCTTCATCTCTTCAATTCTAATCTCCAAGGCAGAATCCCACCTCAAATAGCCCATCTCTCCAAACTTACCAATCTGTACTTGTCACACAATAATCTTACTGGTGAGCTTCCTCTAGAAATAGGGAATTTAACGAGTTTGTTGAACCTTCATCTTGATGGAAACATGCTCAACGGTACAATCCCTTCAACTATAGGTCGACTGATCAATCTCTCCATTCTGGATCTTTCCATGAAATTGGTGGATTGATTCCTCCTGAAATAGGGAATATGAAGAAGTTGAGTACTCTGTACCTGAGTCGTAATGCACTCATTGGTCCAATTCCATCCACAATTGGAAATTTGGCTTATTTAGCTCAAGTTAAGATGAACCATAACGAGCTCAATGGCCTACTCCCTTTCACCATGTGGGATTTACCTCATTTGAAATTGTTGGATCTTTCAAACAACTACTTCAAGGATTTGGTTCCTCTACAAATAGGGAACTTGAAAAGTTTGAAAAATCTTTCCCTACAAAATAATTCACTCACTGGCCCAATCCCTTTCTCTATTTTCCATCTGCCCAATTTGACCGACATAGACTTATCATCAAATAGATTCAATGGATCCATCCCCCAGCAAATTGGACATTCAGAGAATTTGAGAAGTTTCAATGTCAGTCACAACATGCTTGATGGCCCAATTCCTGAGTCTTTGTTGGATCTACTTTACAAAAGTTACACCCCAGTTTGGAGATTGCCTCCATCAATGGATTGGAGTACATTGTTGGTGTTTGACTTCAGTCATAATTTCATCAACGGTAAACTTCCTCATTTGTCACTCGAGAATCATATTAATCCTACAAAGATCGACCTCAGCTGCAATAATCTCACAGGAACAGTTTCTGATTCCCTTATTCGCTTCAGAAGCATCAACTTATCCTACAACCACCTTCAAGGTTCTATTTCCGACCATTTTTTACAGCGTTTCAATGTCAGTGTTGTTTTTGGAAACGAAAAGTTGTGTGGCAACGATCTCAGGCTTCGCTCTTGTCATTCAAGAAGTCATAAAATTTCCAAAATGTGGAAGATATATTTTCTCCCAATTGCTTTAGTCATTATTATTTGTTCTGTTTGCTTCATTCTTGCCCGCTCGCAAAGGGTGAAGAATGCCCCCTCTGTGACAAGGTCAGATAAGCATGGAAATTTATTCTCCATATGGGATTACGATGGCAAGATTGCATATGAAGACATTATAGAAGCAACAGAGGGCTTCCATATCAAATATTGCATTGGCACTGGCGGATATGGGAGTGTTTACAGAGCAGTGCTTCCAAATGGCAAAGTTGTAGCTCTAAAGAAACTTCACACATGTGAAGCCCAAGAGACAACTCTTTTCAAGAGTTTCCAAAACGAGGTTGACATGTTAAAAGAGGTAAGGCACAAGAACATCATCAAACTCCATGGATATTGCCTCCATAAACAATGCATGTTTCTCATTTACGAATACATGGAGAGGGGAAGCCTATCTTGGGTGTTGAGCAACGACATGGAAGCAGTGGAATTAGATTGGAATAAGAGGCTGAACATCATTACCAGAGTTGCACATGCTTTGTCCTATTTACACCACCATTGCAGTGTGCCTATCGTTCATCGAGATGTTACAACCAGTAATATACTTTTGAACTCAGAGCTAGAGGCCTTTCTATCAGATTTTGGTATCGCAAGATTGCTTCATCTCGAATCATCCTATCATACCACACTTGGCGGCACTTGTGGATATATTGCTCCAGGTAACAATTTTTTGTTTTCTTATTTGATCTTCTGCATCTTAATCCAAGTTTCAATTGATTGCTTTTTTAATCTTTCTAATTCAGAACTGGCGTATACCATGACCGTCACACAAAAATCTGATGTCTATAGTTTTGGAGTGGTGACATTAGAAATAATAATGGGAAAGCACCCGGGAGAAATATTGAACTTGTTGTGGTCTAAATCTATACCACCTATAGCCATCAAGGATTTGTTAGACTCACGTCTCAAGTCTCCTTTAATCCAAGCTGGGGTGGCACAAAGCTGGGGTGGCACAAAGTATAACTCTCACATTAACCTTGGCCTTTGCTTGTCTCCACCAAAATCCAAAGGTTCGACCTTCGATGCAACAAGTGACTCGAGAGTTTCTTGTTCGGAGGCCGCATCTAGTAGAAATTTCGTTCAATGAAATTTTGATTGAACAACTTTTAAGACAAGAAATATACTACGTACAAAAGATTTAGAAATAGTTATTTATATTAAAATGAAAAAATACTCGAGTTTCTTCTTATTTAAATGTATGTGTTGTCTTGTAGTCGTCATTTCAAGCTAAGTTTTGTTCTCTACCATTTTATCAACTGTTTATGATTTTTTTTTTAATAAATCCTAACTTTTAATTGGCTGGTTGTGTGGAAAACAAATCACAAACAAACAAATTACTGAAGGCTAAGGAAGAAGATAATTTTCAACTCTAAATTGCCAGTGATGAACCTGGAAATCTCGTGAGGTATTATCATATCAGCATCAAAACTCCATCTTCAAGCCGATGCTTTTGGTAGAAACAAGAAAGAAAGAAAGAAGAACAAAAAAAAAAAAAAAACTGGGGATACAGTTGAAGAAAATGGGATGTTGACTCTGGTGAAATCATAAACACACAACTGATTGATGATAGTTACAGCAAACAAATCAGATTTACAAATTAGCATCATAACAATAACTTTCTTCAAATCTACCATCATTCTCATTTTCTTATCTACTTAACTCATCACTTCAACTATCAATCAATGGCATACAAAGAACACAGTCCAAATCAACCTTCCTTCCACTTCATCTCTGCTCCTCCATATCCCACCCGTAATCTAAAAACGAAAAAAAAGAGGAAAGAATAAATGGACAAAAGGAAAACTGAAAATGTCTTTTCAAAGGCTCTAATATGGACATAAAGTCAACTGTATAGACAAGGGGCTAAACCATCCTATGTGCTAATTCACTTTGATTATGCTTTAACAAATAAGTGTTAGATTCGAGGTAATAACTTGCTCGAGTCGGTTATTAAGGTTATCTCCTGTCGGGTTTTGGCGACTGGTGAGGATAATTATATGGAGAAGCATGAGGACCATTTGGACTTGATAAGCTTCTAATGTGTTGCCCGTTCCTTGCCACAAACATGGACTGCGTGCGGACTACACTTTTAGCACTGGGGTTGGACCTGGCACGCTCTGCTTGCATGGTCTGGAAGTAATAGGAAGAACTCGCCATGTCCTTGAGGTTTGGCAAAGGTTTTAAAGTTTCAACAACTTCGCTCATCACAGGCCTGGCTTTAGGATCTCTACTGAGGCAGTGAGCTGCAAGCTCTGCAGCTTTTTGTGCACCTTTGATCGAGAAGTGACATTCGAGCCGGGGATCTATCAGCCGGTAGAACTTCCTCTTGTCCCCAAGTAGTGGTCTAGCCCATTCAACAAGGTTGTGCTCCCCATTGGGTCTATTTTTATCCATCGATCTTCGACCAGTTAGCATTTCGAGCAAGACAACTCCAAAACTGTAGACGTCACTTTTTGATGTCAAATGTCCTATGGAATTCAAGAATATTAGATTTTAGACTCAGTGATGAATAAAATGTGTAAGTGTTGGTTGTATGACATTTGTACAAGTTATGCTAACAAGAGTGAACCACTTGAAACAGTTAATGATACGTATCGACAATATGCATGAGGTTTATAGTCATTGAGATGGATTAGGCAGGACCATGGTCCAAGGGTGGAGCCAAGAAGGAAGGAGGGACTGTTTGACCTCCAATTAGAAAGGTCTATGTAAGGAAGGACAAAACGGGTATTGTGAAGGGCAGTCTTTCGAGTTAACTATTTTACTGTTTTATTTGGTTTCTTTGTATTGGGGAAGTTACAACTTGCTTTGGTAGTTTTATGATTTTTGTTGGTGTTTCTTTATTATGTTGCTTCTGGTATGAATGAGATGATCTAATGTATTTGATGCGTTTTGTTAAAGAAGTGTGGAGAGTTAGATGACCCTCTCAAATAGGTCATCCTTTAGTTGATTTGCCTTGTGTTGTTAAAGTTGTTCTTGATAGGAATCCTATCAGAGACATTATACCCCTATTTGTCGGTTCAGATTTAAAGAGCTAGAACGTAAAATTTTATCCTTTCCTTCAAAAGTTTCTGGCTCCACCCATGCTTTACTCACTGTTACTAATTCCTATATCACTCCGCTGCACGAGTTTAACACTACTTGGAGAATTTTTTTCGTAGCCCCCAGATTTTGATTCCTTACCACCGAGTGTACTTCTGCAGTGTTAACTAAAGTCTGTTTCTATCTCAATAAATAGTATACTTAATAGAAATACAGGCTCCTTTTTGTGGTGGGCTCCTTTATTTTTATTTTATCCGTTTGTGTTTTTTCATTTGTCTAAATGAAAGTTAACATTTCGAAATGAACCAAAAAAAAAAAAGCAGAAATACTAGCAGCAAAGTTCTCTCACAACAAAAGATGAAGTCAAGCCTACCAGTCATCACATATTCTGGAGCTGCATAACCGTAGGTTCCCATAACTCGAGTTGAAACATGAGTCTTGTCACCCTCGGGACCATCTTTTGCAAGTCCAAAGTCTGAGAGTTTAGCATTGTATTCCTAAAACAACATATTCAACCTTTAATACAAGGCATGGGCTTAGGTAACACAAAAAGAGCACATAATATGTAAACGTACCGCATCTAATAAAATATTAGACGTTTTAAAATCACGATATATCACTGGTCTTTGAGCTTCTTCATGAAGAAAAGTGAGGCCTTTAGCAGCACCAAGCGCAATTTTCATTCTGATGGACCATGGAAGTGGCAAGGGCCCTTCTGTGCAAAATATGGTAATTACCATGGAATATTAAACATGTGAAATAATTGTGAAATATTAAAAAAAAAATAACATTCCTGTAATTACATCACTAAGAAAATGAATGTGAAAAAATCACATCGTACATCGACAGAAAACTGTTTGAACAATGTGCTTTAACACAAAATGCCAGGTGTGTGCCATATATATATGTAAATACGTTTTCAACAAGCTCAAACAGAGCAAATTTCTTAAAGCTGTTTGTCAGGCATTTCGTTTTCATTTAAATCTTCAGGATCTAAATGGACTTTTGATGAACATCAAACTGCAAATTTGATGCCCAATATTGCATTGTCTCAATAATCAGGTATTTAAAATAGTTCTAGTAAAGTTTAACACTCTATCATACCTTACAGACGAGTGCTTTTCGGAACAAAGAAGCCACTTTACACTGATAATATGAAAAGTACAGGAGGAAATAAAAACCATGGAGCTTATAGCTCAAATTGGTAGCGATAGAAAAACAATCATAATTACAAAATAATGAATAAAGAGTACAGCTAAAAGACCTCAGAATCCTAGCTTTTCTCTCCTAAACATCCATCCAGTTTTTGCTACCATTCTCAAAAATTATTTGATATCTTTCCAACCAATTATGAACAGTCGGTTGAAATTTTTTCAAAACCACCAACTCTTCAAAGTGGTGGTGTTCCAAGCCTTGCTAGCACTCTAGCATTCCTTGTTTGTTTGACATCCTTCTTTCCTATGTTTAAATATCAATGTCATGGATTTAACATCCTAGAGAACGATCATGAACACCATAGTTCACATTTCAGTTAGAACGGCCAATTTCAATTCATCTAACTTGGGGATACTATCATTCCAGAATCTGAAGTCCTGACTTTAATATTTGAACTCTGAGATTAAAACTTCAAACTAGATTTTATTTGCATCCATGTTCAGATTTAGTGAAAAATATTATTGACCAATATTCATAGGGGGAAATAAAATGGTTAAAGGTTAAGTCACATACTTCTGAAGAGGTGGTTTTCCAAACTTCCACGAGGCATGAACTCATAAACCAATAATCTTTGATCATCTTCAATGCAGCAACCAATCAACTTAACAAGATTAGGATGGACGAGATCACCAAGGAAGTTAACTTCAGCCTGAAATGGAAAGCAGTGTAAATTTAAAGTTTTTAACAAAGAAAAGAGGAAGATACCCCAAAAGTTACTGAGAGAGAGAGAGAGAGGGGGAGAGCGGTGAAGGTTGTTCATACCATCCACTCTTTATGACCTTGAAGACCATCATGATTAAGAGTCTTGACTGCAACTGTAAGCCCAGTTCCAGGTTTAGCAGGAGCAGTTCCATTCTCCTCAATCCATCCTTTGAAAACACAACCAAAACCTCCCTCGCCAAGAAGGCTCTCAGGTCTGAAATTTCTTGTGGCTAACTTAAGCTCGTTAAAAGTGAACTTACGAAGCTTAGAAGCAACCTTCAGCTCGGCACTAAGCTTGGGTGTGGACGAACTACTTTCAGCATTATCGGTAGTTGCTGAGGATCCCAATGCAGTGGCCAAACTCTCTCTTTTTTCATCGAGTCTACATTTACTGTCTGCTAATTGCAAACGATTATAAACAAATTCATAGATGCATAACTAAGAAACTAACAACAAAAATAGGAAGTTAATCAGATTTCAAAACATCTATTAACCATTCCCCTTGTTTTATGTGACCAGCACAGTTCAATCTATAATGTCAAGTTTAATATACAGACCATATTGTGGTACAAAATGTTTTGAAATCAAAGTATTATACGCCAAAATAACATTGCAGAGAAGGAAAACAAAGAAATACAGAAGTCACTCAAAATCAAGAAAACTTCCAAATGTTTCATGCTCGAGTAAAATAATCTCAATATCACTTTTAAGACAACAGTTTCAGCAAACCTCTAAAAGCTGTCATCTCATTACTCATAGTATTACAATCCAACTTTATATACAGGATAAGCTGAAATTGCATGGCTAGGGAATTTAATGTTGCAAACCCATGAAAATCCAAAAGAGTTCAATATTCCCAAAACTCTCAACCTAATCATCAGTTGAACTTAGCTATCAACTTCATATAATCCAAATTTATGACAGTACAAATTAAGAAAAGTTAAAAGAAGAGGATAATTTCCATATAATCCTAACCGATTGCAAACGTTTCAGAATTATGTTAACTCAAGCTAAAGAAAACCAAAAAGAACAAGAAGTTTACCGCAATGAGTACTGGTGCCACTGATGAAGCTATCGACCTTTGATCCACTTAGGGAGCTATCAACCTTTGATCTCGAAGGAATGCAACTTCCTATGAACTTCAACTTAACCCAACATCCAGTCTCCTCCTCCAACTCATTTTCCTTCTTCTTCTTCTTCTCGCTGGCTGTTCTCGACTTGCCCTCAATCCATGTCTCCACCTTCGAGTCATTAGGTGCCAAACCCATATCCCCAAATCCCCTAAAAACAGATTCCAACACCTCACAACCCAGAAATCTCACCTTTCATGGAAACCCCACATGAAAAATCAGCTCATTAACCATAAAATTTCAACCGATGAATCCCACGAAAGGGTACCCAAATCACAGAAATAGCAAAAACGGGGAAAAAAAGATCGAGATCACATAATAAATTGCTCTACAACAGAAGGGGAAATGGAAAACAACTCAAGCTCACTAAAGGAACTTAGTCAAAAGAGCCAAAGATGGGGAAAGAGAGAGAAATAGCAAATGGGTGTGAAAAGGAGGCCGCTTCAGAAAGAGGGAAAGCGTCCCAACAACGGGCAGGTTGGGCAGTTTGTGACAATGGGTGGCAGTTGGTCGGGCAAGAGAGAGAGAGAGAAGCCATTGTTACAGTAACTATCGGATATTCCTCATCAAATCAAGTACTTATTTAAAGAAGTTTGTATTTGGGACAGTATTGGACTCTCAAATTTGCCACTAAGAAATCGCCACCTACATCATAGTGATATACTAGGAAGCACTACAGTTTTTGCCTGCATTATATGGTGCCATCCACATGTTCTCTACGCAATCATTACGTAGTTTCTAACTTAATACAGATAACGTATTTTATTTGAAATCTTATTTCTTGAAGCATGTGATATTATAATAAAAGCATCGTCAATGATATGATGTACATCTTTGATATAAGTATTTTATTTAATTGGTCATGGAATCGGTACAAATTTGAAATTTGTGTGATTGAATTGAAGAGAGGTGAAGGACAGGCAAGGCTTGGGGAAGGTTTTTGAGAGTGAGGTTTCAATTTAAGTGTGCTGAAGAAAGGATTAGAAAACAAATGGGAAAATGCCTTTGAATTCCAGTACTTTGTAGTTGCAATTATTAGAAAAGTTGCAAAAGATTATTAGGTATGCAATCTTCATTTTAGTGGGTGTTGAATAATGATTAGAAATATGAATAAAACTTTTATTCTTTCCATCCTGACTTAAAGTCAAAGTAATTTCAACTCGAGCTAAAAGAACCTTTTTACGTATATGGAAAGGCTTATTTATGATTCGTATTGATTACTCTCGTTTGTTTTTATGTAAATCAATTTTCACTTTTCTCGAACTTGATTTTGAGTAAAACTAAACTGAAATAGATATTTTTGGAGTAACGTAAGAAAATTTGTCTTCCTTTTTAATTAAGAATTTATTTGGTTTGGTAGGTGTATTAAAAATATTTTCCAATCAACAGTTAAACTAACAAATATTTGTTATATTCTTAAAAGATTGATAAGATGAGAATTCATTTGTTCTTTTATATCTTCCTTATATGTATCGTAGTTCTCTCTATGTTTTCCAAACTAAAAATCATATGGAAAGGATTAGGAGAAGCTCCCTAAAAACTATTTATTTTCCAAAAAAATTAGTGAGCTATTTTACAAACTACAAAGGTTAGTTGTTGCAATTTTTGAGAGACGAAGGAAAATTTCAAAATCTATGAAAGAGGTCTAAGTTTTGGCAAAATCTATTAAATTTAATTAATATGTGAATTTTTTTAATAATTTTTGTATAATAATGTATTTAATAAATAGGAGCTCTCTAAAAACCTTGCCCGTAGGTGGGAGGGATGAGAATGGTACCATACACAATATTTATATTGTCCACTTTTTGACCTTTCAACTATATTTATTTTTCACAATTCTCTCCACTAGAATTGATTTATTCACGTGTGTCAAATATATTTAATTAAATAAAAATTGAATTCTAATACTATAAGAATGTCTTAATTCTATACATGTTATGTTGCGAAAGCGACATAACTCAACGGTAATTGGTATATATTTCCAATCATGAGGTTGTAAGTTCGATCTCCCACCTCACATGTTTGTACTAAAAAAAATTATATATGTTATGCTTTATTCAATTCTTCGAGATCATCTTAATTGTAAAAAGAATAAAGAATGCAATTTAAAACTTTCAATTAATAGGTAGTTGTAATTGTGATGGATGTGACTAAATATTCTCTTTTCGTTGGATATTTTTTTGTTCCGTTCAAAAATCAAATCATAAATCAAATGGAGTATTGTATATTTTCTTTTAATTCTAAATTAAGGAAACCAATGTTTAAAAATAAAATTAATTGAACCGACCGATTCAACTCGGTTTAGTTTGATTCATCAATTTCATGGTACCCCGATAATATGTGTTCATTTTTTGTTTATTTTTTAACTTCTTAAAAACTCCATTGAAATCTTATACAAATTTCTAAAAAAAAAATTAAAAACTATTAGAAAAAAGTAGTTATAATCTCATGTAAATAAAAAAAAATAAAGAAAAATATTCAGTAAATGATTATAGTTTCTAAAAAACGATACTACTATATTCTATTCAAACAATATAAAGATAACACTTTTGAACCTAAAGATTATTTTATTAACCATATCATGATACAATAATTTAAATTAAGATCATACCCTCTAATTCAAATTACGGCCAATTGTTCCACAAATCTATACAGATTTCAACAGCTTCATAGTACATCATACCCTCTAATTAACTAAAAAATGGTTGACAAAGCATAATTATTCAGGTAAAAAGAAATACAAATCTTTATCAGACAAAGATCTTTCGATGTATTTTATTATTTAGAATAATCTCAAACAAAATCTTTAAGTACTCTGAACTGAAACAAATCCCAAGCATAAATAATCTGTCTTGAAAACTCAAAAGATCAGTAAAGAAGTTGGAACTCTGCTGAATGAAAATGAAAATGGCAAACTTTTTAGCATCCTTTGTTCTTGTGTTGGCCATTTTTGCTCAATTTCACCAAATAATTTCAGCCCAAACTTTCAATGTGATCAACTATGGAGCTGTTGGTAATGGAGCTACTGAGGACACCCAAGTAAATATGAATTTCTCTCTCTCATCCTCTCTCTCTCTCTCTCTCTCTCCATTTTGATATGAATATATATAATTTTGAATAGGCGTTTCTGAATGCTTGGAAAGCTACTTGCAAATCGAATTCATCTTCTTCTCCGACGATGGTGGTTCCCGGCGGCAAGTCATTTTTGCTTCAGCCTTTCACTTTTAATGGCCGCCGTTGCAAGTCTCCAAATATTAGAATTGTGGTTTGGATTCTTCGTTTCAATATATGAGCTTAATATTATTGTTATTATTCAATATGATTTGATATTTGTTAATTATTATATATCTTAAATACGATTAAGATACCAATTCACTCAAAAGCTTAATAGGATGGATTATGATAAATTATGTAGATATCATATCTTAACACAATAATCATAAACTCCTTCTTTATATAATTTCATTATGTCTTTTAAGTACAACGAACTAAGCTACTCCTACTGTGAATTTCATTATTATGTTTTTAAACCATATTAAAATATTTAAAAATTTAAAACTCATTGATAATCCTTTCGTGTTTTTCTCTTTAAAAAAAGTTATACCTTGATTAATCGTATATGTTTTCACCTCATCCTAATTTATAGTCAAATTTGAAAAATAAAAAAACAAAATTTTAAAACTACTTTTTTTTATTTTATATTTTATATAGTTTTCAAAACTTACCATTTTAAAACAAAAAAAAAAAACAAAACAAAAAAGCACAATAAAGAGTACTTTTAAACTTTAATTTTTAAATGGCCATATTTGGCTCAAAAAACAATTTTGCCATCACCAACCATTAACTCTTTGACAACAGGGAGAGAATTGTAAAAATATAAACTTATTTTTTCTTAAATAATGAGTCCTCAATTTAGCGGTGAAGACAAGATTTGATCCTTAACCATAAGCTAAATATTTTTCATTTTTAAATGGTGTGTTAGAACTCTATATTTAGAGAAATATTTTCAAGAATTTTTCTTAAAAAATTTATCTCAAATTCAACATGGATAATTACTTTCTCTTACTAATTTCTTTGTGTTGTACAGATCGATGGAGAGTTGATAGCACCAAAAGGTCCATCAGGATGGAAATACAAGGGAAAAAAATGTCGTCAATGGATTTTATTTGAGCACATGAAGGGTCTTAAAATCCAAGGTTCTGGTACTATCAATGGTCGTGGAAGCACTTGGTGGCGTCTCTCTTGCACACAAAATAAAAGGGTCACTTTTTCTCATCACCCTTTTTTTCCTATATAAAAGTTATATAATTTAGTTACTTTTGGTTAAATTACCACCGTAACATAGTGTGTTTGTGGTCGAATGGGATACCCTTTTCCGTCAGGATTTTCCTATTCGAGAAAATGGAGTCATCGACACCCCTTGATTGTAGAGATCTCATCCAACTGATGAAGCCACGTGGCTTCGATTTTGAGTTATAAAAAAATGTTATTTTGGTTAAATTACAACTATGGTTCTGTTCACTAACTGTGGTGTTAAATTTTTTTTTTGGCAGGTCTGTGGAAAGAAACCAACTGTAAGCAGCAATTGCCTCTTTTACATCAAATTATGTAAATTTAATATTTTTTCCAAGAAAAAGATGGAAGACACAGAGTGAAAATGTTGCATGTAAATTTTTACAGGACTGAGTTGGGTAAAAATTTTCAGGGCTTTATTTTGGAGCATTCAGAAAAAGTGCAAATAAAGGGTCTAACCTTTAAGGACAGTCCCCAAATGCATATGGCCTTTGGAAGGTCAAGAAATGTTTATGCTAACAACCTACACATTCAAGCACCTGCCAATAGTCCTAATACTGATGGTATTCATATCCAAAATTCCCAAAGAATCTTAATTCGTAGTTCTTACATTGGCACAGGTACGTAGTACATTTATTTCTCATCTTTCGAGATGACGAGCAAATAATTTTGAATTTGTATTCAACGATTATATTATGAGCCAAGTCATATTATGGTGACCTCATTGAATAAGAGTATTTTGGCAGGAGATGATTGTATTTCGATCGGGGATGGTTCGTCTAGAATTAGTATCTCCAACATTTCTTGTGGCCCGGGGCATGGCATAAGGTGATATAATTAACTTGCAAATTCAACATTAATGTCTTGTCTATCGTTACCAAATTGTTTTGTTTTGATAATTTTTTTTCCCCTTCTCTTCTCAGCATTGGAAGCCTTGGTAAACATGGACAACGAGAAACTGTTGAACATATTCATGTTAGAGATGTAACTTTTACAGGAACCACCAATGGAGCTAGAATAAAGACATGGCAGGTAATTTCTGATCTTACTCTAATCATCACATTACCAAAAAAGCTTTTTTAATACATTTGTTGGAATGAATTATGGAATACAAGTTTCACATGTTTGTTTACAAGTTTTATAAAGCGCTAGCAAAATTAACAAAATTACTTACGTATAAGTTGAGAAATTCGAACTTGCAACATTTTGGTCGAAGAGTCTTATAACTATAATAGTAAAGATATAAGAAGATGTGTGTAGGCATTATTAGATTGAAAAGTTTAACATATCAGATCTAAATTTTTAATTCATTTTGTATATGATTGTGCTTGTGATCAGGGTGGGAGAGGATATGCAAGACACATCTCCTTTGAAGGCATAACTTCTCGTGGCTCATCAAATCCAATTGTCATCGATCAATTTTACTGTGACCACGAGCAATGCAAGAACCAAGTAATAAACTAGAGTGATTTTAACCGTTTAAAACAGTAATGTTTGACAATGATATGAGATAAAGCCAAATGAAACTTTTTTTTTTCCCGCAGACTTCAGCAGTAAAGATCAGCAATGTGCTGTACAGGAAAATATCAGGGACATCAGGGAGTGAAATTGCAGTGAAACTAGCTTGCAGCGATTCAATCCCTTGTAGAAATATCATGATGAAGGACATCGAATTGATACCGACAGGTCTAGATGGAACTCAGTCGACATCGTCGTTCTGTGGGAATGTTGTGAATGGACTTCAGAATGGGACTGTCATTCCCAGTGTCCCTTGCTTGAACCAAACTAGGTAGTAGCCTAGTAGGCTTCTCCAGAGCCATGGCTCTGGTATATCTTTGTTTTTCTGTTTTGTGTTCTGTTTTGTTTGATGAAATTGAGGTTGATGAAAGTTTGGTGTACAGGCCTAGGGATAGATTAGAGTTGGAACATCAGTGTACATTCCTCGAGTAGACTAGTCGATCTTATGTTACTTTCAAGAGTCATTACAAAGACACTCTGAACTTTTGGTTTGAGGAATTGTCTCAGTTATGATGTCATTTAATATTCTATATAAAACTAAAATTTTCTTATTGTGGAATTATAATTAACTAATGACTATTGACTACTAATATTTGACCATGAATCAACTTCAACTTGCTTTTTTGTTACAAACCTGAATACAACATGATATTTAAACTATCATGGATTGACCTATTGACCAATAAGGATCAATGTTAAATAATAAAGGACTTAGAGGAAACGAGTTCAAACCACTACTTACCAAGATTTAATATCCTACAAATTTTCTTGACAACCAAAAAATGAATTTATAAACAAATAAAATTTCAAGATTCGAAACAAGATCGAAGAATGCATTTTCAATTCCCATCATTATCTCTATTTGAAAAAAAAAATTCCACCTAGTTCGATAGTTGCTAAAATTGACACCTCTATATATGGTTGACATCTAATCATATGTGCAATTCACAGAAAAATAAATCTAAAACAATTCATTCCCAGAACTGATATTGAATATGCCACATTGACATAACACATATTCCTGGACTTTCTATTGACATCCATGCATACGGTGATTTTTTACCTCAAGGAAAATTTATGGTTCCTCCATTCCTTCCTCTGTCCTAGTGTCATAAACAAAATGAATAAACTGGTGGGGCTGGATTCTCAGGTCTCAAGCCAGGTCAAAGTTCCCATAATCAAATATTTGCCTGGAAGTTCCCCTGCCGATGGCGCAAGATATGTAAGTTTCTTCCTGTCATTCACCAACAACTCCCATTATTAGAATTAGTTGAAGCTAAAGTTTCAGATTTCCACGTCCTTTTATCAAAATAATTAGCATATTGTTTAGTTCAAACCTTTGGATGTCAATGTCAGTAACATACACAAATCCAGCAACATTGCTGCACCCAAAAAGGGAAGAAATTAATAACTTGTAAAAACAGAGATACATTACAATTTGAGTATCTATCCTTTAGACTTTACTTCAATTTGGTATCAATGCTTTTAAAAGTTTTATTATCATCTTTATGCTTTGGTTGAAGTTACAAGACATCTGCTGGTGAAGAGTAAAAGAAATCCAACGGGACAAGCTATTAGTGAATGTAGCAAATGAACTTCCAGGATGTGATATTTTGTATTGATGACATAAGAGTACAAGCAGTCACAATAGTTAAAAAAATGAATTTGAGTCGAGTTCTAAAATATTATTTTAAAGAGAAAATAGAATGGGGCTAGAGTTACTCCTGCTTGAGTGTAACCAGCCTGTTGTGTATCTGCTTACTATTTTTAGGGCTAGAATAAATCCTACTCTAGTATTGGTAAACTATCATTAAAGGATATAGATGATAACGAAATTCTAGAAAAAGTAGAGATTAAAAAAGTAATTTAATAAAGAAAAGGAAAGCAATATTTCAAAATATAACTCACCTTGACATAATTTCATCAGGTTCTTTGGCAAATGAAACAGCAAGAACCAAATGGAGCAAATCTCGATTAATGTTGACAGGCACTAATCTTGTGGGGTCTGCAGCAGGTTCTGCACCAATAGGTAGTGCCGAACGAGGTGCCTGAGGTCCACCGCCAATGCGATAAATGAATAGATCGTTAAAGTTTGCAATGTTGGAGTGTGGTGAGAAATCATTTGCAGGGCCATAAAAATATTCCTGCAAAAACATCACCTCGTCAGTCCATAATAGCCTTTCCGGTTGAAAAATGGAACAGAAGGGATTCCATGGCAAGGATTCAATTCAGTTGAATTATATGGGTTAGATAAATTGCATAAAGATTGAGGAAGCCAGTTCAGTTGTCAGTTGAAAGGGTCAAAGAGAAGATTGTTAGAATAATTCCAATCATCCACCATTGTTACAAACAACTTGCTTACCCTTATTCTGTAACTCCTGGCCTTTTGACGAAATTTGGCATTTCTGGATACAACACCACCTGACTTTTGGAGTTTTACAACATCCACATTAGGCTTGTTCTTTAGTACATCTTTAAGCATGCTCCAAAGTTTCTCCTAAAAAACAGAAGAAAACGGAAAGTTACAATCAGATGTTCCAGAACTTACTTGGATATTGCCTTTAGAGGTTGGCTTTCTTAAGGTACAAAATCTTATTCTTAGAGATTTTGTGGGTTTTTTTATTACTAGAAGAATGGATGGATTTAATTAATAGGAAATATATTGCCTCACAATTGTCCTTCATTTAACACCAGAAGGGTTCACAGTAAGTTCCAATTTCCAGTTAAACCAAGATCCAGAATTGAGAGAAACAGAAAAGGCAGCAGCTTACCTGACCCAAAACCAAGACTACATTGGCATTCAGCGTGTCAATTGCATGTAGAAGCAGCTGCAGTAAGACAGCATACAGAAACATTGATACTTAGGCAATAATGGTAATGAAAATTAGCATAACCAATGTACAAAAAATTACATAATCCATATAGGGCCTTCACTACCTCATAGCCAATACCCTCAATCCATCCCATTGTGTTGATAACCATACCAGCAGCTCGAGATTCTGCATTGCCAGTAAATTGCCTCTCCAGCACTTCGGCAAGCTCCTTCACAAGCACTTTGTACAGATCAACATTATTGCTGTGAAAGAACCTCAATCTTAGGGCATTGGAATATATTACATGTGGCTTAGAAATGAAAATTTACTCTTATCAGAATTTGCAGCATAGCATATCATTGGGTCAACAGGACTCTGTAAAATTTGAAGAAAAAGTAAAAACTGTAACGTTACTCGGGAGATTTATTTACCTTGGAGTAGTGTGTCCATAAAAGTACACCAGGGGCATTTCAAGTGGGATTCCATCAACGGGATCAATGGGCAACTCAATAGGGGTAGCAGCAATGCATCCAGGAATTGTTATAGATCCTTGGCCAATATCCAAGTCCACAAATGTAGGCTTCCAACCCTGTTTTGCAGCCCAACTAAGAAGCATCCTAGACAAGGTGCTCTTACCTGAGTCAGTAGGCCCCACAACAATTACCCGTGGACCCTAATAAAATAAAAAAGGGTATAGTAAATATCAATGGAGTGAACGAAATTATGTATCTATGTCATTAGCGTGCATAAACACAAAACTGAAAAACTAGCTGAGACAACTATTTTGATTGGAAAAAAGAAAAGAAGAACCTGAGTAGAACCAGAGTCATCAGATGATGATGCTCTAGCACGGCTTCTTCTTCCTTCAAGTATGGCATGGGCATTCACATAACCAATCATGGGTGTCTGAAAATAAACAGTAGAGATTGATTCTTAGCCATTGAAGAAAAAATTGCTAGTGCAGTGAAGACTATCTCATTCATAAGCTTATATAAACCAGCAAAACTTATACCTCATCTGCCGTATAATCAGTTTCAGTTGCACCATCCATTTCAAGCGTGGCTCCATACCAAGTGAAAACCTTTTACATCAAACTCAAAACTTAGATTAACATAATGGAAAAACTATAAATTAAAGCAGAGCAGTCCAAATACAATTTTCAAATTAAATAGCTTGCTTATGAATGATTAGAAAAGTTGCGAATTTGTGAAAACAATAGCATTTTCCCCCCTGTTAATCCTGTTATAACGCAATTAAAAGAACCAAGAAAGACAATAATGCAAAGTAAATTTGAAATCAAATATAGTTCTGAAGCTTGAATAAATCAAATTGTGCAGCAAAAGAGTGTAGTTTATTAAAGCTTACGGCAATTTTCAGCCTCGGTGGTAAGGTGAGCCATATTTCAGGAGGAAGCTCCGTGCCGAAGATCTCAGCATTACCAGATACCAGCCGCAAACGGAGAGGTGAGTCGTTTCCAACTTCAATCCTGAGCTCGCTCTCTCTATCCAGCTTGACCTGTCTGATTGAAGAAGTCGATCCCGAGCCAGCCGCTGTGGGTGGACCACCATACGCCATGGCTCACCAAAATTCGAACTTCTCTCGAGCAAGAGCAACAATTTCAAATTGTGTTGTTCTGGCTTGCACTTGCTGCAACTATAAATAGCGTCTCTGTGCCTCGGACGACGACACCGCGAGCGATCTGTACGAGGCGTCATGGTTCATTGTGACCATAATTGCAGAAAATAGTGTGCGGGTTTAGGGTTTTAGACCCCCAACAAATTAAAGCAGTCAACATAAGTATAAATTGAATTCATCCAATCAATTTCGAACTCGAAAAGTGGACATTCATCAAACTATTTCACACATCAGTATGAGTTCAGACTGTAAGTGGGAAGTGGAAATCGAGACGTGTAGAGTAAAATAACTGATGCAGCAGAAGAGAAACGTTTAAATTTCTAAAGAGGATGCAGAAAATTATCGCACGGCGGGAAGAATACTACTATCAGAATCTCAAAATGCTCATCACTCGCTCATATAGCGTACTAACACTAGTAAGTTACAAGGATTAAGAAACTTTTAGATGCCCATTAAGACCATTTACTCACGTGAAGATGAACAATCGCTGGATTTTGGGTCTGGCACTGCAGACAGATAGAGAGGAAGACTGAGAAAGGCGACGACTGGGGTAGAGTCGAAGTAGCCGAGAGAGGGACGGCGGGCTCGCGACGAGAGTAAATTGAATTGTAATCAAATTGCGTTAAAAAAAAAAGAAAAAAAAAAACTCGGGTTGATCCTAATTTACTTAAAAGGAAATTAGATTAAAGTGTAATTATTAATTTGTGTTCTCCGTCCTCTTCTATTTTAGCATTCGAAAATGTTATATTTTAAATGCGATGATTTGAAATTATTTGTCTAATGATATTAAAGAAATGTAATTAAATCTTTTTGTTAAAATGCTCATGGAAAAAGAAGTTTGGTAATATAGACTTTTAGTATTAATTTAGTAATTAAAATTTGAAATATGAGTCCACCAAAATATAATGATTAAGGTACCGATTTAAAAAGTTTCCTCATGTTGATTTATGATTTTGTAGAGACCTGTATTTTTGTAAAATAGTTGTCGGACTTATGATTTTGTAGAGACCTGTATTTTTGTAAAATAGTTGTCGGACTTGATCAGTGTGATCCCTTCTCTAAAAATCACGGGACTATTTTGTGGTACTGAAAAAATATGAAATATGACTTGGGTTTAATTGACCTTGATATCTAGTAAAATTTCGTCGTTTGGGTCAAACAGACAAAATTTATCTATTATGTGTGTATAATTTAAGAGTCCATAGATGGTAATTAAAATTGTTTAAAGTTGAGGGACTAATCTTCTCTAGAAGTCAAATCCAGGAGACCCAGTGGCCATTGCTTCGCTCTGTTGCTCTGCAGGATGCTGAGGCAACTACTCTCGCGCGCTCTCGCTCGCCGCCTTGCAGCCGATGCCCACTACTGTGCCACGCCCATTTTCGCTCCCGCTACTGCTTTTATTCATCGTCAAAGCTCTCTTTTTTCTTCTTCTTCTTCGTCCCAAATCCCAGACGGCAATGTTGTTCGGCACTTGGAAGATGAAGACGTCTTTAATCGATCTCTCTCTTCTGAACCCTCGACCACAGTTTCCATCGATCGCTCTGGGTTATGTAACCCACCTGGTACCACCTCTACCAATCTCATTTGCTTACGTATTGCTTTTACATGTCGAGATGAATGAGAAGGTCTTTTGGGTTGTGAATGGCAGAGCACTCTCACGAGCCTTCTTCGGACTCTGAGCTTATCAAGCATCTCAAAGGCATTATTAAGGTTTTATTTTTCTTTTTTCTCCATGAGTTTCTTTTGGTCTGGAATTGTAGATGGGGTGTTTGTAAAAATGCCTCTGTAAGTCCTTATTTGTTTACGATGCTGCTTTATGAAGCAATTTCTAGTTCCTTTTTTTGTGGGACGATTTATTCAGTGATTTAATTTTAAGACACCATTATGAATTCTATCTTTCAGTTTCATGCCAACTAAAGGGGGCTTTCTTTGAGTAATTTGTAACACTCATGGAAGGATGAGTGTGTTAGTCTGATCAGTGCTGAATTCCTTGGCTAATCTTTGTGGATTTTCAGCATTTTTATAATTTTTGCGGTGGCACTGAACATTTGTATGGGAATTTGATAGAATGTGAACTCCAGGATTTAATGTGATCATGTAATTTGCCTCACTGATTTTAGTTTTTAAAGAATAAGAAGCTTATTTAAATAATTTTTTATTGCATGACGTAAATTCTTTCTTGTTTATATGGCAGTTTCGTGGAGGACCAATTTCAATAGCTGAGTATATGGAAGAGGTTTTGACAAATCCTAAAGCTGGATTTTATATTAATCGTGATGTTTTTGGGGCAGAAGGTGATTTTATAACATCTCCTGAAGTGAGCCAGATGTTTGGCGAGGTAATTCACCTGCACCTTTGGCTTCTCAATATCATCATTCCTCTTCCACCATTAGTGAATTTTGCTGAGTCATACACAAAAAAATATTAAAAATCCTATCCTTCTTTGAGATTTGTTGTTGCATATGAATGTCTTTTCATTGCTACTTGCCAATGTCAGATGGTTGGTGTCTGGGCCATGTGTCTTTGGGAGCAAATGGGACGACCAGCTAAGGTGAATCTAGTAGAGTTGGGTCCAGGAAGAGGAACTCTGATGGCTGATCTACTACGTGTAAGAATCATACAGATACTTCTTAAATTAATTTATAATATGATTCCTTTTTTTAGAAGATAATTAGTATCAAGGAATCTATTTTAGGTTTCTATAATCAATAAAGCACCTTTGTTAAAATGCAGGGTGCTTCCAAACTTAAGAACTTCACCGAGTCATTGCATGTACACTTTGTAGAGTGTAGTCCAGCATTACGGAAGCTTCAGCACTCTAACATGAAATGTAGAGATGAAGATAGTACAGGTGATGGTGTTGAGAAAATCAGTGTTAGCACATTGGCTGGAACTCCTGTGTCATGGCATTCCACATTGGAGCAGGTCCCCTCCGGATGTATGTATCTATCTTCTTTACTTATTCCATGTTAAATAGTAAATCTTAGCCCCCTATCTTAGTTCCTCTTCTCTGCTGCCTCTATTTTCCTTCAGTATCCTTATTCTGCAATTATGATGTAACTCGATTCGAGTTCAACAATCTTGATCTCATAGTAAGCAAGGCCTATACAAATCACATTCCAATTTTCAAGAGAATTTTATTTAGTGCTTCTTGCTTTTTCTAATAGCTTGCTGAAACGAATTTCCCCTACTTTTTATATCATTATCATCTCATAAGATCTTCAGTTGCAACCATCTTACTATAGATAAAACAATAAATGGAAAGCTACTTACTTTGTTTTTGCGTGGAGTAGATATGTTATCGTATCTGCATTTTCCTATCGCTCAAGAAATGAATATTAGGATGATGAACAGCTGGATTCATCTTTAGTCTTAAACATTAAATAGTCACCTATAATTTACTCTTTTAATTGTTAGTAATCTCACTACTTTTTTCCTTCCTCTGTTGCTTATCTCTTTTCCAGTGCCAACAATACTTATTGCTCATGAGTTTTACGATGCTCTGCCAGTACATCAATTTCAGGTTCAAATCCCTTATCCCAATTCTTATGATATGAACGTATATTGTATTCTTTATGAATAAATTGACATCAAGATACAATTTCAAAGCAACTAAATATAACAGCGTTGGATTTCAACATTTGCTTGACTAATTTGAACCTTTGGAGCTTCCTCAATGACTTATATTCCTTATTCAATAACTTATAAGGACCCTGCATAGGTTTCCTCAATCTGTAGACAAACTTATAATCAAAATTTCTTATCTATTTTCTGAGTAAATGAATAGACGACAACACATGAAGTTGCAGATACCTCCTGATAGATCACTTATCATAGGTATCTCCATTTGTTCTGTACTCAAGTCTCTTAAATCGTTCACTGTCGGTGAAGAAAATGCCTCTACATTTTTTTTTAAAAATTTGATCTTGAACTGGATATTTCATTCTGTCTAGAGGACTCCTCGTGGCTGGTGTGAAAAAATGGTAGATTTAGCAGAAGATTCAACGTAAGGGTTAATAGTTTAGTTTTGTGATTAGTCTCTTTGCAAATCTGATCTTATTTATTTGATAACTTTTTATCCATCTCATATAGGTTTAAATTTGTTCTATCTCCCCAACCAACACCTGCAACTCTCTATTTGATGAAACGCTGCAAGTGGTCTTCAAGTGATGAGATCGCTAAGCTTAATCAGATCGAGATTTGCCCCAAAGCAATTGAGCTGACTCAAACTATTGCTGAGAGAATAAGCTCTGATGGAGGTGGTGCTCTAATTATTGATTATGGCCTCAATGGAGTCGTCTCAGATAGCCTGCAGGTTTGGAACATAGTGGTTGTCAGTTGCGAGTTTTCTTTTACTTTAGATGATTTTCCTGCTAGGCGAACACTCATGGTGGCTGTTCGTGATGACTGTTATCTGATTGGAGGCTTTAATTTTGTTAAATATACAACAATGCATTAATAACTTAAAATAGATTGATACCCTATGAACTTTTGCAGGCAATTCGAAAACACAAGTTCGTTAACATCTTGGACAATCCTGGTTCTGCTGATCTTAGTGCATATGTTGATTTTCCTTCAATACGGCATGGTGCCGAGGAAGTTTCAGGTGCTTATCTTAGACAGATCTTAGTGCAAGTTATTAAATTTATCGTAATCTATCAACTTTAACTTTTAACTTAATCTTAATGGTGATTAACACTCTATTCAACTTAAAATTAGTACAGTGCTCTTCCCCTAAAGATTCTTACTCCATTTCTGGGATGGGATGTAAAAATCCTAGTTTGTTGGTTTTCGTTGCTCTTTTATTTTCCCTTTTCTATATTGATTCTCTCTGAAGGGAAAATTAGAGAATCAGATTGATATGATATTTCTTTCCCACAGGAGATATCGCTGTATACGGCCCAATGACTCAGTCTCAGTTTCTGGGTTCCCTCGGCATCAACTTTCGAGTTGAGGCACTGCTAGGAAATTGCACAGATGAGCAGGCCGAGTCTCTGAGGACTGGTTACTGGCGTTTGGTTGGCGAAGGTGAGGCACCCTTCTGGGAGGGGCCTGACGAAGAGGCACCCATCGGAATGGGCACCCGTTATATGGCCATGACTATTGTAAACAAGAACCACGGTGTTCCGGTGCCATTTCTTTGAGCGCTGATTGGATAGATATACTGTACCATTTCCTTGAAAAGGAATCTGGCCAATACGTTAGAGATTAATAATCTACAATGGGGTTATTTATGTTCATCATTTTGCAGGCTGTAATACGTCGAGCTGTTATCTGATGTTCTTTAATAAAGAGTTGATAGTTTCTCCAAAAAGCTAATACAGTTCTGGCAAAAAGAAATTTCTTCCAGAATTTTTTCATTTTCTTCTTTGATATTGACCAGCACCGAACAATCGATCAGTATCTGATAATCATATATATTTAGTTTCATGGTAACTCAGAATATTAAATTCTTATCTGACAATCGTCTACATTTAGTTAAGGTAACTTAAAATTTGTCACATGTTAACTCAGAATATTAAATTCTAAATAGATGATTTAGGTCAACTCATGATTTGTCAGTGTTTATGACCTTTCTTACCAATAGACCAACTCACGGTGAAAAAATTAAAACGATGTTGGATGGAGCATTCTCACATTTTTCCTTGTATTTTCAACATTTGAATCACTAATGGAACGATTATGGAGCTACATGGAGAAATGGAACCAGTGATGATCATCACAAACGTTCATTCAACACATTTGAGATCACTTTGATATAATATTGCTAATATGTTCGTAAAGTCTTTTATACATCAGATGAGAAATATGGGATCTCCTTTTTGTGATTGGTAACACTATATTATGCAGATATAAAAGCCTATGTTCTCTATACTGTGTATGATTGCTGAATTGTGTTGATATCGAGACCCTTCAGCCTCACCACCGACTCGACGTGGCCTTTCAATGTGTGCAGCTCTCTCAGCCTGCATCGAGCCAAGGTACATAACCAATATAAAGTCAGTTGCATCTATTCCTTCATTTCAAGTGATTAAGGAGCACGAATAGCATGTTTATGGAAGCTGCAGGATTAGACTGAAAAGATAATACAATGTTCTCTCATATACAGACTTGTGATTCATGTCAGTTCACTTTTAGCCCTGGGATATTTTTCAAAGTGGTAGAACTAATGTTTTGTGATTTCCAAAGATTTCAAATTCATTTGATTTTACCTGGCAATCTCAGCTCGTCGTTTAGCTTCTTCGGCCATTTGGTTGAGTTCTGTATAAGCTGTGCGCTCGGAAAACATCTTAGCTTCCGGTGGCTGCAGCCCATGGAGTGTCCTTTGCGCATGTGCCCATTTGAGCTCACGCTCTTCCTTCCCGAAATCCTTCTTCCTTGTAAAGGCAATCTGTAGGAGAAATAAACTCAGAATCAGAGAAAGTGAGGAGCTCAATTCGAGCTTATGCTGTTCAAGCAGTGAAAAGGCATCATACCCTTTGTTCAATGACAAGGTCCCATGCCCTACCACTTATGGCATATCTGATTGCAAACTTGATAAAATCAAGTGGGAAATAAAAGATGAGGTTGTAAAGCCAAACCACACCAGCCCAGCCCCAGCCAATTCCTTCTATTGCAGCAAAACTCCAGTTTGCGTAGACAGCAATCAGTGTAGCAATCTGTTCATTTATGATGACGATCGATGGATCAGTAATATAGAAAAAAGAAGTCGAGATGTGGCCAGAATCTAACGGTTCACTCACCAGCTGAGCAATAACAAAAGCTGCAACCAACAACAGGCCAGGACGCTCCACAAATGACCAACTCCGAGATCGTGTCACAAAAATGAGGGCCTGACTAATTGTACTCACTTGCAGGTATATTGCCGAGGCAAGCTTTCTGAAGTCATCCTCATCCTTCTTTTGAAGGCTGGAAACCCCAAATGTACGCTGAAAATTGGATAGGAAGATCAGTTTGAATGGTTGAAAGGTTAAGAGCATTGTTGTTCTAGATATGTCATGTTTGAGAAGTTATCAAAAAACAAGATTAGACACAAGTCCTACATAAAGCAGAAAAAACAAAGCAAATCAAGGAAACCGTTAACTTTATGGTGCTTCATTTTTATTCTTAGCAGGTCTGTGGACACCAAGAGTATAACATCATCATCTTGAAGCTAGAATAAAATATTTTCGACAACCGAAAACTGGGAAATAAGAAGGTATGTGTTCTTCTCTTATCTCTACTTCTAAATGTGTTGATTTCCATTATTTTGTCAAAATTACTAAACTCACTGGAAAGAAGTCGGTTCTGTAAGCCGCCCAGAAGAAAATAACAGTCATCATAGCCAAATAACCTCCAAGTATAATTCCAGTTCCAAAGATCTCAGCCAGCTTCCAGCTATCTGGCAGAGGAGATGGTTTCACTCTATCCTTTGATATTGTCATTATGGTACCTGGCATTGGCAAGCAGACCATATAATGGTAAGTGAAGAACGCTAGAAAAACGAGTTATCATGATTTTATCAGTTTATGAACAAAAAGAAAATCTAATATCATGAAGTTTAGGAGCCAAATACAAACCATCATTAAGGATGGCAATGATCAGAACCATAAAAGGTGGGAAGTCAAATTGATATATAAGAGCCAGTAACATGAATCCAAGCTGTCCAAGAAAAAGAACCAAAAAATTGAGATGACACATTAATAAGTAGGGTGATAAAAGGATGGTTTATATTCATGTTCTTGACACTAAGATTTTGAACTTACCACAATACGAATCGTAATCGAAACTGCATAAATCTGCAACAGTAAATTGATAAGGTGAATGGTTAAAGGAAGAATATAAATCTAAAAGAGCATAAATGGAATAAGCTGAGAAATCAGGCGCCTGCCGTGTAATTTTTCATCCTCTGGAAGATGGCTCTGCTGGTTAGAACAGCACTAATAATAACACTAAGACCAGGCTCTGTAAGAACAATGTCCGAAGCACTACGAGCTGCATCGGTTGCATCTGCAACTGCTATGCCAATATCGGCCTTTTTAAGAGCAGGAGCATCATTTACACCATCTCCAGTCATTCCACATATATGTTTTCGAGCTTGTAAACGTTTCACAATCTCATATTTGTGCTCTGTAACATGTAACAAGCATTTAAGTCGAGCAAATACTGATGGCTGATAACATTCTGAATGACAAAACATTAGAAGTAACTTATGTTTGTATTCAACCATTATAGGTCCTAAGTATGATAAACTTTGAAACATATTACCAGGAAATACACCAGCAAATCCATCAGCCTTTTCAATTAAGTCATCAACAGGCAACCCAGCAATGGATTCATCTTTGTTTTGTCCTAATAATGCAGACGAAGGATACATATTTGTTCCCATCCCGAGCCGACGTCCGGTTTCCTTTCCTATAGCCAGTTGATCACCTAAAACGATGAAGAAATTAAAAGCAAGTTCAGTTCAAGATAAACTTGTAGCAGATTAGAAGTAAAATATGAACTGGAAACTCTACAAATTTAACAAATTAGTGCTATATATTTTCAAAATACACAAGTGTGCTTTGGTGAAGGAAATTAGTTACTAATTTAGTATTAGATATCTAAAAACTGGACCTGTAATCATTTTAACATTTACACCAAGATTCAAAGCCCTCCTAATTGTCTCTGCACTATCATGTCTAGGTGGGTCGAACAGCGGCATTAGGCCGATGAATTGCCATGGCCCTCCATGACTCTCCTTCCTTCCTTCAGGAACTTCCTGCAAAGCGTGGTAATGGTGCAGTGAGAAAGTACTGAACCGATAACGAGTTCAAATGTACCGAAAGCAGAATCAAGAAACAACTGGAAGCATGATAGTTACTTGGTATGCCACTGCAAGAGAACGTAATCCTCGCTCTGCAAACTTATCGATTACAGCGTGAACTCTTCTTTCTATCTCTGATTTGTTGTGTGCGAGATGCAAGATCTAATGTTGAGATGACAGAGTAGTTTTGACAATTAGCATCCCGAAAACAATGAAGAAACGGAATGTAGTTGTATGATACCATACCTGCTCTGGAGCACCTTTGCTGACCCTATGCATTTTACCATCACTATCAATGTATGTCAGGGCAGTGCGCTTGTCGGTTGGATTGAACGGAAGGAAGTGAACCTCTTGAATGCCAGCTCGTGCCTTTTTTCATCATTGTTGAAAACAAAAAGAGAAATTCTAGTTTATAAATCTTCTAGTCAACGTATTCACTGATTTTATTGTATGGGGAGAAACAATCATTTGAACATACCTCCTTTGGATCACTTAACATCCCTACTATAGCAGTGTCTATTGCATCTTGATTTTCAATTCGGGAGGCTTGAGCTGCCATGAGAACAACAGTATCTGGATCCACTCCCTTGGCGAAAACCTATCGAAAAAAAACATTAGAGAGTTAGGACAGTAAACTAGAAGAATCAATGTCGATGCATGACAAAAGGTAAACAGGAATTTTGGAATCTTCAAATAACCTCTATTAGAGTCTTGTCAACAGTAAGCTTATTTAAGGTCAGTGTTCCTGTCTTGTCGCTACAAAGCACGTCCATTCCAGCCATTTCTTCTATTGCAGTCATTCGTTTAGTGATAGCTCCCTGAGCAAATCAAGATAAGTTGATGCTCATCGATAGTGGTCGAATTCAGGTAAGCATATAGCAACAAGCATTTTACATCTAGAATTACCTACCTGCTGAGCTAGGCGATGTGATCCAATCGCCATCGTGACCGACAAAACTGTTGGCATTGCAATAGGAATTCCTCCAATGAGAAGAACTAGGAGATTGTCAATCCCTGGACGGTACGCCCGATGTTGGATTGGGTACATAACAATAATCTCCACTATCATGCCCACAGCAATGGAACATATGCAGAAATTTCCAATAGCAGTCAAGACCTAATTAACAAGAGAACAACTGTTAGCAACACTGATATAATGGCAAGATATTTGCATTCAAAATTTATCAAACAATTAACTTCTAGGGACTTCATAAGTGGAATGCCTTGATGTACACTTCCGCTCCTGCTAAATTGAAGTCCATATGAATTATGAACCTTCATACTCTTCTATTACCTTTTGGAAGTGACCCACTTGATTCGTGGAGTCCACAAGATGAGCAGCTTTGCCAAAGAATGTATGAACACCGGTAGCAATAACAACCGCTTCAATTTCTCCCTGTTTGCATGTCGAACCCGAATAGACACTGTCGCCAGGGCCTTTAGTCACAGGAAGTGACTCACCTGTGAGAGCAGACTGCAAACTCGACCAGGACGCTCGAGTAAGTCATCTCAAAAACAATAAAGATCATATCAACAGTTTCCAGAAGACAAGGAAAGAAAGAGGAGACTAGAAATGGTTATAACATTACTTGATCGATCTTTAGCGGATCACCTTCAAGGAGACAAGCATCAGCAGGAATAATGTCACCAAGCTTAACGCTGATTATATCACCAGGAACAAGAACTGATGCTTCCTCCTCAATCCACTTTCCATCTCTAAGAACCTGAAAATAGTGAAAATAATAAAGATACTGACAGATATACAACACTTCAAATGAAAATACCTTTTTATATGATGAACTGACTACCAAATGAACAATGAACATGATTTCACATGCATATATGGGACATAGTAAAAACCTTAGCTTTTGGCGCAAGACGAGCCATGAGAGCGGCTGCAGCATTTCCAGCATTGTTCTCCTCAATAAAACTTATAGTTGAATTGATAAGTAACAAGGTTATGATCCCAACAAAATCTTGCCAATCTGGAGGTTTTCCCTACAAAACACACCGTTCTCACTTCTCAGCAATCGAAAAATCCGTTAAGAAACTAAACAACATTGGAAAAACTCAGAAAGATTATTTAATATCCTGTTTTCACTAATTGAGAAATCTGAAGTTGCATCTTCATTTCTAAGAGAACTCTAAACTAGTTGATCAGAAAGGGAAAATAGAAACATAAGTCAGCATAAAAATTTGCATTCCTATAATGAATAAAGCAAAAATACAACCAAAACCAGATACTTATTTTAGACAAGATACTAAAAACTCACCCCTCCATTGGCCAGAGCAATAGCCATTATAGCTGCAGCTTCCATAACCCATGAAAGAGGGTTCCACATAAATCCCAAGAACTTCAAAATCTTACTCTCCTGTAACAAAACAGATCACAGAATCAACATAAAACTCACCAAAGCTAAATATTTACACAAAATTCCAACATATGATAGAATTTACTCTCTCTCTCTCTCTCCAATTAAAAAGATTCCACTATACATCTTCCAAGGAACAGAGAATTAGAACCAAGTAAAAGAGAAAGACCTTTTTTTCTTCAAGCTTGTTGTACCCAAAAATGGCCAACCTCTCATGAGCCCCCTCTGCTGTCAGACCATTTGTATTACACCTCAAGGTCTGAAAAACCTCTTCAACCGGCACGTTCTCCTGCAAAATTCAACTGGCTCCATAAAACCACAAGAAAACAGAACAAAAAGAAATTCAAAAAGAACAATCAGAAAAAAACAGAACATATAGAAAGAAACAGATTGAGGGTACCAAATCAACAGCTTCCTTCACAACAGCTTCCAAAACTTCATCCTTATCCCCCATCTTCAAGCTTCAGCTGAGAAAAATGAAAAACTGGAGAAGATGGAAATGGAGAAAGATATCTCCAAAGGGTAATAAAAGAAAGAAAACAGGGGAGAAGGAGTAGTAGGTGATTCTCTCTCTATATATCAAAAAGGGCAGTGAAGGGAAGGTAAGGCAAAATTTTGGGTCTCTCTCTCTTAATCACTCTGCCCGAAGGCTGTATAAAGGTGGCAGCTTTTTGGCGTGGCATAGAAGCGGACGCTCTAAGAAGATCATGTACTTGCGGGTACACTTTCCTTTCATTAAATTCCACTTTTTTTCTTCTTTAGAAAACAATTTTCTAATTGACCATCCTTGTATTACATTACAGTGTACAGGTTTTTCTTCTTGTACAGGTGTTTCAATGTTGGTGACTGCGCTCCTACTTTTGTTAAATTATTCCATCCGACAATCTCTCTCTCTAAATATTATATATTTGATTTTTTTTTTTCTTCTTTTTGAAAAAGGGATGAAATTTGTAACCAGGAATGGGTCTTGTCCAAGTTTGCTTAAAAAATAAACTCATACCAAACTTGCCCACTTCTTGTAAGTGAAGGGGATTGGTGTGTTCAAAGAGGTTGGTTTTGATATATGATAATAATAGATTTTTTTTAGTTTGAGCATTTGATCTTTCAAAAAAAAAAGTAAACTTTTGTCCCAAAAATTAATGAACTATAAACGATATATATCAACGATACATCACTTGTATGCATATACTATTAATAATAAAAAAAAATTAACTTATTCGATAATAGAAAAATATTAATTATTTATTAATTTATATATTTTTTATGAGTTTCTTGATTTTTATGGTTTTTTTTCAAATACATATATCTTGTTATCGATTATTTATTAATATTTTCATCAACATTTCATTTCTATAGATTAAGACTTTTATATTTTTAGCAACGTAAGTATTTAAAACTTTGGTTATAACTAGTTTAGCTATGTTTGTGTTTGCAATAATATGTCGTTCTATGTTTTTTTTTTAAGATAACTTTATGTCGTCCTATGTTAGTACTATTTAGGAGATAAATTTGATACATTCACATATTTTTCTTTTTGTTTATTTATCTTTCTTTCTGGATCTCTATGCACATGTATCATATATCTAAAGTCATGTGTACTACCAGGTAAAGTTATGGATTTTCAAAGGATTTAGATTCTTGTCAAATAGTTAATGAAAAAACTTAACAATAAAAATTTGAATAATTAAAAAAAATATTATTGAAAATTTGGAAATCAAAACATGATATTTTAAGGTTGAGATAATAAAACACTTACTAATTTGGGGACTAAAACAAATAAAACATGAAAATTCAAGATATGATGTTCGATTGTTATTATTATTATTATTATATATATACATTACTTTTGAAGTATGAAACAAAGTAAGATTTGAAGTAAAATGATAATAAGATCGAATTATAATATTTCATTATAGTTTTATATAATTTAGTCGTCAGTATACTTAATTCTTTTATTTATTTCCTTTTTTAGTGTAAGATATGGATGAGGAATCGAACTCACGTTCACTTGATTGAAGATATATGTCAATTATTATTGATCAGCTATACTCGTTTTGACATCTTACCAAACAATAATATAATATTAATTTGGTTTGTAACTTTGGATAAAGTTTTATTCATCAAATGTTGTATTATTATGTTATATTATTTTACCTCTTCACATTATGGCACCAAATTATCATGAAAATTAAAAAGAAAAAAAAAGTTATTTAGAGTTATCTTTAAAAAGCATTTTCTATCCTTTTAGAAAAAAAAGTATTAGTCAAAATATATTTTGAGTTATTAAAAAAAATTAAAGAAAGACCTATTATTCTAAATAATTGAAGTTTTTTAAGAGACTAAATAATTGAAGTTTTTCATAAAACTTTGTAGACATTTAATGAATCGCATTAAATGAAGACTTTGATATCAAAATGACTTTGAAGATTAAAGTGTAATTTAATGAGTCAAAAGTAACTCAAAAAAAAAAATTTAATGAGTCAAAAGGCTCAAACCAATAGTACTAAATAAAGGTGATTTACAAATATATATATATATATATATATATATATATATTTTAAAGTGGGCTAAAAATAGTCCTAGTTTTTAAAAAATATAAGAGCACAAAGAAACACATTATTAAATTGTACGTATAGGATCTAATTTTTGATATTGACAATAATATACTCTGCAACATTTTTAAATTTTATTTTAAGATTAACACTATACAATAAAACATATCTTTGTATTTTTTTTTTAAATAATGTTATTTTAATTCTCTCACTACGAGTACCTCTGGAAGAGACAACTCAGCTAGCTACATAAACTGGAGGTTGTCTTTCCAAAAGAGATCTAAGTATAGTAATATATTCTCCCTTCGGAAAAAATAGTATGTAATCTCTTGCATTACATTTTTTTTTCTTTTTAAATCCTAAAATCATGACTTGAAATTTTCTGATTTTCAACCCTTTATGAAGAGGTGTAAGGTTTTTTTTTCCACATCGATCTTGGCCTAGATGCTTGCTTGAGCTTGTTGGGCGTTCATACAATTTCAAAATCGAGTAGCCTATATACATTATAAATCTTTGTTACGTCCTTATCTTTTTTATGCGGGTCCTTAACAATACCTATCTTTTAAGGAGATTTGCTTTGGAAATTAAAGTTTTATACATGTTGTCTCTTCAAAGACGTCTTTTGGAGGTCAATTAATTGTCTGCCACGTGTCAACATCAGGGATCATCACTCACTCAAATGAAGAGAATAATTGGATGAACCTTATCTTCAGAAGATTACAGACACATCATGGCTTGTCAAGCCGAACTATTTTTCACTCCTCGACTGATCTTGAAAAGCATCGACAAGCACACGCACTAAACAGAATCTCAGACAACACGTTGCAATTCTCGAGGTGGTCGGAGAGCCGTTAACGACAAGAAATAAAAGTTTTCTCAACACTTGAATAGAGATCTCTGCCTCTTCCGCTAGGTGTGCGAAACTATATTCTCTCGAGTATAAATCAAATAAGTACTAATTTGCATCAGAGTGCTAATCCTATTTTACAGATTCCTTCATTCAGCAGTATCATGTCTGAATTTCTTTGGAGACTTCATCATTTTCTTGATCAAATAACTACTCGGCGTTGGACTGAACCGGTGGGGAATTACTTATATTTTTCATAATATAAAATAAAAGAATAAAAAAAAGTCCCCGGTCCAACTTTGAGTAACTTCAAAGATTTCAAAAACCAATGTAAAGAGATATGTCATTAACAAAAACTATATTAAATTACAATTTAAGTGACAAAAAATTAAGGTTTATTTATGAGCTGTTAGAGTTGATTTCGTTTCATGGATAGCTATCTAGAATTTTTTTTTTCTTTGAGATAAAATCTATCTAGATATTTTTGTCAACATCATAATTGCAAGCAATCTAATTAAAATTTAGTTTAAAAAATTTTGGTATATCTAGATATTTTATCATCAAAATTGTAACCAATCTAATCCAGATTTAATATGTATATATGTGCGTGGTGAAAATAGAGAGGTTCTTAGAAAGTAACTATAAATTTGGATCTTTTTAAATCATTATTTACTAATGGACATAATAATAGTAACTAATTCATTTTTAAAAAATATTTTGTAGAATTTTTTTTATTTACATCAATAAGTAACTTAAACATTTTTTAGGAGAATATAATTAACTTAAACATTGATGTTTGTTCTACTGGTTAATTAATTTGTACTATTTAATCAATCTATCGATTTTATAAGAACGTATCTCTAACTTCCACATTTTATTTATTCATATTTTGTTATAAAGCAAAGTTATTTATTATATAATATAACAAATAACTTATATTATATATTGAATTAAATGTCTATTTTTGCTTTTCTAACTCAATTTCTTCTTCCAGCCGGCTTCTGTTTCAACTTTTCACCTAATAAAATTTCAACAGTATTGACAACTTTTTTGGTATTGATTTAATTTTTCAAGTTCCAAACGTATTTCTTGCGTCATGATTAAGAACCCTAATTTGGATTCATTGGTCAAATAAAGCTGAGCCAAGCCAGAACAGAAAATATTTTTCCTTGAACTACTAAGTTTTACTTCAAATCTTTACTCCGTAGACTCTCTGCAACTTGCAAATGCCCAAATTTTCACCATTTGTGACAAAATATCCAGCAAAAATCAAGTTTCTTGAAAATTATTGGGTTTCTTTTATCTCTTATTGGTTGAATTTATCTGCTATTTTCAACGACTATATTTGAATTAGGAACCCATTTTTGACCTGTGACTTTGGTCCATATTTCACCAATAGGATTAGAAAAGAAAGTCACGTGTTGTTCTGTTCTATCCACCATTTCGGGACAAAGGAGAGACTTTCTTTGCATGTGGTTCGAGAGAAAAAAACAGAAATTTTTAGAGAACTCAAAAGGTCTTAATTATTGTTTTAGGTTTACTTATAAAAGTAGTTAAAAATTAATATGAATTTGTAAAAGTACCAACCTACCCTTCAATTTTGTCAAAATAGCAAAATTTTGAGAGCAAAAGTCCAATATATCCTTAACGACTATGGAGTTATTAAATAACGACGATAGACCTGATATACCAATGATATACAATATTTGGTCTTTATCGTTAAGGAGCAATCTTACCCTCACTACCATTAAATGTTTGGGAACTAAGAAGGAGAAAGATAAAAATAGAGATTTTTATAAAAAAAAATTGATGAGTTGTCAATCTTTTAATGGTGGTGAGAATAAGATTAGGTCATTACGGTTAAGGAGTCAAGTATTTTCCAATTTGATACAATATAGATATACTTTATTCGAGTAATGGTGAAGATATATATTTTAAACAGTTGAATTATGCTAATGTTGATATCCAAAAATTGTTTCTATAAATATGGTAAATATTTTAGCTGTCCATAACAAATTCCCAATATTTATTTATCCTTTTTCTAATTTTTAGTTACATGTTAAAATATTTTAAGGTACGGTAGTCAATCTATTCTAGTGTACATATGTTGAAGTCTTCAAACACAAGCATCTTTGAAAATAAATTTAGATTTCAATTTTATTGTGAAACTTTATTGTGTTTAGTTTTTATAATTTTAATATTTTATTCTTGACTTTCATAATACTTATTTTTGTTTCTTAACTTATAACTTTTATTATTACATTTAACAACAATTTTAAGGT